GTCTGGAATGTTAACGGTGGGATAGACTGTTCAACCTCCAAGGACATGGCATCTTTTTATTCAGTAAAGAAAGCTTTGTTCTATTTGAATTCTTTTTTCAGAAAATTGAATTTGCTAATGGAAAACAGTTGGACGATAATTTTAGAATTATTTTTTACTGTGGAAGGTCGTACTTTTGTACTAAGTTGTATTGATATGTTTGTGTTGCATTTGTCGACTTTTACTTGCCAGTTGCATCTTCGTTCTAAGTTTGTCATCTTTGTTTATCCGTTTGCTAAACTGAACAAACTATTTGAATCCTGAATATAATATAAATGTTTCCATCTCTTCCTCTCCCAAGAAATCCATTCGGTTTATACCTTCTAATCGGTTCCCACAGCATTTTTGTCGGCTGCTAAACTCATGCTTAATTTTCTGCATATTTTTTAGTTAGTCTGATTCTTGAGTTACTTTTGTAAGACTCAGAACACAAATTGTTTGTAAATAAGTTTTTTGGTTGCATTTGACCATTCATTTCCTGCTTGCAAGACGTGCTAGACTATCAGTATCATGACTTTGATACTTTTTTATTTGCTAGAAACTTCAAATCAGGTTATTGCACAAGTCATTTTTTTCTATTGTTGATCAGTATCTGGGGGCTGTACATGCAATTCTCTTATGGAATAGTGACCAGATTTGAACAGCGAACTTGGTAAGTAGTTCATCTGTTAGTGCATTGAGCCAACTTTGATTTCTATTTCTATATTTTTTCTTTGGTGTATATGAACTCATCTTCAATTATAATTTTGAACATGACAGATTTTAAATTATTTGAACACTCAGTCTGTCTCACTAGTTGAAATTTGCAAATCCTAGCAGCCATCTTGTCTCAATTGCAGTTTTATAACTCTGGTCTGTTTGAATAGTCTTATCTTCGTAATTAAGTTATATTCTTTTAGTTTTCCAATTGTATATGTTAGAATATTTACCTTTATTTATCATGATTATATTGTGTCTATATTACTTCTATTTATATGATTATATTGTGTCAATTTATTTTTATAAATAAAAATTATGAGAAGGATCAATCAAGCCTCAAGAATTATTTTACAGTTTAATTCTCAAGTGTATATTTCCTCTGTTGTATTGCAAATAACTAAACACTTTAAGGAGGCATGATCAGAAATTCCACTGAGAAACTCTTAACAAGATATCTTAAGTGGGGAGTTCTCAAGCTTGAGAAATTCACACTGATATGACCATTTAAATTATGAGGAAGTCAAGATAAACCAATCCATTTTTAACTTAATATTGTCCAACATGGAACTGTTTTATAAATATGTTAGGAAACTAAAAAGAATCCCCTACACTGCCATAAGCTTGTGACCTCTCATTTTTTCTAGAAAGAAACTGCCCAAGGTTGTAATTTATAATTTAGAGTCATGGAATGTTTTGATGATGAGTGATTCAACAAAACCCAAGAAGCAAGTAAACTCCAAAAGGATTTTTTTTTATATTCTGTGAGAAAATTTAATTGAATACTTAAACTTTTGCCTTGTAATATCTGTCTTCAACTCTACTGCCTTCCCATGTGTTAAGGGCGATGATCAATTCTATCGTAAGGATGACCACCTTTGGAGCCCAAAAAAGAGGGCATAATATATGCTAGTTAAATGATGAATTTGGATTCTCTGCTCGGTTTTTGGTACTAAGCTTTTATTGTATCTTCAAAATACACTGATGTACATTGATTTTAATGTTTTAAAATATACCTTTTTAACATACCAACATCAATGTATTATGAAAACTTAGAAGAGGCACAACAAAAAAACCAGCAGAGAACCTAGACTCGTAAACCTAAACTACTAACATAAACTAATATGGCTGAAAAAATATTCCTACACAACATAGTTAGGTACCCTTTACTACAGCCAAACAATTTTTAAGGGAAAAAGGAAATGGACTTATAGAAATATATGTCAGTCTCTCTTTTGGTTGCAAAAAGTAAATGTTGACTGCATTTTGTTTTTAGATTCTTTAGTTTTCTTTCATTGGCACTATCAATGCATGTACATCATAATGGTATGATATTTGGATCATTCATTTTATGGGGGGCAACACAATGCCCTCCTTATATTGTTGCTGTGAAATAATTGCAATAAGTCTTATGGAAATGATTTTCAATTTTCAAAATATGTGGATAACTAATGATGTTACATGGCACTAAAAACTTCTGCAGGTGCTCGTAGTTTTGTACCAAGAAACGTGAACATCTCAATAACCAAGTTTGCCAAACTCCATGTATCAAGAGACATATGATTAAGATGTGGAGAAATAAGATCAAAATACTATTTGTATAGTAAATGATCATCCAGATGAGCACTAGCATTACAAGGGTAGCGATGAAATCAAAGCAAAATTTCTATAAATAATCTTTTTGGTTAAATTATAACCTAGGAATAGACAGAGAGAACAATCAACGAAACTTAAAGTTGGGGACAAACAACACCGAAATGGATATTCATACAAATAGGTTAAGACGAGGCACTAAAATATTCTAACAGAGAAAATTGTAGTGATAAACTCAAGCCTTCAATTAACAAAATTTGCATTTCTATTGTGAATTCCTTCTTTGACATCTTACTTTTCCTTTCTGAGAAAGGTTAGAGTCATGGAGATGAGTGTTAAAATGAATATTTTGTTATATATAAGAAAAAACAAGGTGCAAAATGATTACGTGTAGGGAGTGGTTGATGTAGTATTTGAGAAAAAATGTGATAGAAAACATATTAGTGACTGGGGCATGCACAAAGAGAAAATGGAAACTAAGAATAACATTGAAGAATTTGGTAATGAAACTAAGAATAACATTGAGATATTTTTGTTATCATGCAAAGTCAAACATTTTCCTTATGTGATAGGGATAATGGTATTGGTAGTGTAATTCTTAATTATCTTTAATTGTGATTTTAGTTATTTTAGATTGGATAATTGCTATTTCGGTCCCCTAATTTTTGTAAGTTAATTTAGTCATACTTTCATCTTTCTTCCATTTAAAATACTCAAAATCATCTGAAGGCTTTCATTGAATGAGAGATGAATTTGAAAAGGGAAATTTTTTATACGCATATTTTAATTAATAAATTTAAGTAATAAGTCTATGAAAACGTAAGCGATTCAATTTGTAAATATTCGCACATATACATAGAGTGAATATATAGATTGAGAGGGTGCCAAAAGTAAAAATGAAAAATTAAATGATTCCAAGTGTGCCACCCACAGTAAGACACTAACTACATAAGAGTAAAATTGTTTTTTTTTTTTATATTGGTCCTAATATGTTAAAGTTTCTAAACTTTAGCCTTTTCATCAAGATATTTAGAAGATTGAAAACTTACCCCTACACCACTATGCCAAACACAGGTATTTTTGTGCTTGTGCAGTTGCATTCTTTAAAAATAAAAAAATATCAGCTATAAATAAATATAATAATTGAAAAGGTTAGAAAAAAAAATCTTTTTTATATTTAAATTTTCCTTCTTTATTTATTCAATGTTTGAACTATTGAAAGACAAAAACAGAGTGAAACTACTACAGAAAAACTAAGAATTATATATTACTATAAATTATTGATATTATTATAAAATGTAGACATGTATAGTTGAAATGCATGAAGATTGAAGAAGTGATACATGTTTTCTTTTTCTGGAAAATTGTTCCTTGTCATTTCAAATTATTGAAGTAAACTTTCTTGTTGTAGATCCTCTACAAGTTCCAATTTTATTTTATTATTATTTTGTTCTAAATTCAAATGTCAACTTTTTTGGTTGCTGTGTAACTAAGCCATAAGGTTGGACCACTGATGCAAGCCATTGATACACATGCCACCATTTCTCTTTAATAACAATGTCAATGCCCTCTTTAATAAGATGTAGTTTAAGATAATTGTAGTTAAGACATTTTTTTATGGTAATGCAAAGAGATTGAGATAAGAAAAAGCACTTGCCTGAAGAGAAAGGTAACATTGAGTGATTGACATGATATGTGTGGTAAGTGTGGAAGCATTGAAGACCCTAAATGTGTTTTCTCACCAAATGAAAGAGAAGACAATTGGGTTGTGGAATTTCATTGTGGCTGGCAAGTTGTGTGCCTTTGGTCATAGTTGCATTAAGTGAACTGTTTACTTCTTTTTTCATTTGTCAGCATTATCTGTCTAAGATTGGCTTCTTCAGAACATGAAAAACAAGTTCATGTTTTGTTTATAACATGTAATGTTAAAATATTGTATACCTCTTTTCTCATAAAGATTAAATAGATTGTCTTTTTAATGCTTATTAAGAAAGATAAACATGGCTTAAATGACTGTCATATTTATAAAGAAAAAGTCATGTTAGATAAATATTACATTTAAACAAATCAGACAAGACAAAGTTTTCCAATGATGTTATATTTTACAAATGTTATATGTTGGATGCAATGACTGTTGCATATGGCAGTGGTCAAGGAAATAGGCAGGAGAAATGTTTGAACAGTTCCTCTCAGAATCTGTCGATTTTTATGTTATCAGTTGAAATATTTGAATATCAACATCTCAGAATTTTTATGTTTATTTTAAGGTTTTATTGGGATAAAATAAAAATGTGATCTTATCATTAAGATTTGAGGAGTTATTAATTTGATTTGAAATTAAAATAATATTTGGAGTTTTCTATTTCAATTTTTCAAGCAGAGTTTATGAATAAAATCTTGATATAGCTAATTTAGTTAATAATCTCTCCATCTTAAAACTACATGTTGTACACAAAAAACCACCCTATCTTATTATCTTCTTAACTATGTATTCAGGATTATCAGAAAATATTTGGAAGATATCATACGAAATTAAAATGAATTGTGAATGCTTTGTTGAACTACTTGGTTGAAAGCTGTTGCACTGTTAAAAAGTGTTCCTTTCAAACCGAAAACATACATGTTAAATGCATTAGAATATAGAAGTTGCGAAATTTGCATATAGAATTTATGTAACCTATTTGTATATTGTGATGTTCAGACAACTAAGAGTAATGGTTTAACAATGTCATAATAACTCTAGATACCCAAACAAGACAAATATATCATAATGGACAAGATTGTCGTGAAAAGATCAAATATATTTATGAGATGTTTTTTTCTTTTTACTCAACCTTCAACTAAAACATTTATAATAAGAAACTTATTTAAAAACTGATATTTAAGTTACCCTATTGGCGTATATATTGGCCTATAGTACTAGAATTTATAAACCTTTCATTGTCTTCTTTTAGGTTGTGTTCCTAAACTACAAAAACAGAATAATGCATGATTAAGTGTGCCAAGGCGGTTGAGATCAAATCCTGGTATATCCATATACCTTTATTAAAACAACAAAGGTCTAGCTATGCATTAGAACCAAAATAAAAGACATGTTAAAGACACTTTTAATTCTAAAATGATTATAAAGAAGACATTTAAGCATCTACACACTACATGTTTCATTATTCTGCTACTGCTACGTAACATAGTTGTAGACACACCATTGCAACATTGAAAGGTATAGAATTCATCTATCTAAAGGGCTAATAATCTATTCTTTGTTTTGTTTTTTCTTTCTTTCTTTATTCAAAAAGGACAAAACTAGATGTGCCAGAAATGACATATATAACAAGTGATTATTACATAACCTTAGTTAAGGGGCAAAAATGTTCCTGCAGGACCTGCATCAAGAAAGTTGTAACAACTTGGCCACAATAACAGGGTCCCTTTCCCTTGCACAGACCATGATATAACTCAGCAGCATGAATGCACTCACATTGATGAATCTGCTTAGGTAGAGTAGAAGCAAAGATTTCACCATTGGTACTTGGCAGCAACAAGAACCTCCTCATACTGCTCAGCAGCCTTGTCCCAACTGAGATCCTGCATCATCCCACGCCGTTGTAGCCCTTCCCAGCTATGCTTAAACTGCCTAAAGGTCATCAAACAGTTCCCTAATGAGTTTATTAGCTTATTAGTTTCAGCACTATCAAATGTCCATCCAAGGCCAGACTCTTCAAATGGATTAAAAGGTGTCACAGTATCCCTCAGTCCACCCACAGCGTGTACAACAGGGATTGTTCCATAATTCATGGCATAGAGTTGATTCAATCCACATGGTTCAAATCTTGATGGCATGAGCAATATGTCTGCACCTGCTGTTATCCTGTGAGCCATCTTCACAGAAAAGCCAACCCATCCTTTGATTTTGTCACCGTGTTGGGCCATAAGTTCCTTAACCATATCTTCTAAGTCTGGCCTTCCTGTTCCCAGCATGGCAAGCTGCACATCCTGACCCATCAACCATGGAATGGCTTCAGCTATGAGATCGATGCCTTTTTGATGATCCAGCCTTCCGATGAACCCGAGTAACGGAACATCCTCACGAACTGGCAAACCGAGCTCCCTTTGTAAAGCAGCTTTGCATTGACGCTTGCCACTTTGCAGGGTCTCAATGGAGTAGTTGGTGTATCCATTTGATGTCAGGTGAACATCAAACTTGGGGTTCCAATCTTTGGTATCAATTCCATTAACAATTCCCCTCAGTTTCCAGTCATTCTCATTCATGATCCCATGCAAACCCCAACCACCTTCAGAAGTTTTGATCTCCCATGCATATCCATGACTGACAGTGACAATCCGATCAGCTGCCTTTATGCCAGCCGCAAAGATATTCATGTGTTCACCTCCAACAGGATCATAAAATTTGAAAAGGTCTATGTAGTGCTCCGGTAAATCCGTGTAACGGAATTCATCAAGTGGGCCACGACCCTATAATATAAAATCCAACCATTATGAAAATGAAACAGTGATTTGCCTTAACAAATAGTTTTTTTTGTTTAAAGATAAAATAATTGCTTATAGATACAACAATCCACATTCCATAAGTGAAACAAACATAAATGCATCAGATGAGAAAACATTTTCTCGCATTGACTAGTCATTAACATTAATCATCATGACAGGATACATGCATACTCACATTCACATAATATTTGAAAGGTTGGAGTGCAAACATATGACAACATGTACGGAGTTGAGGACAAAAACAGAGACTAATCCATTAATTGGGAGAACCTAAGGCTTAAATACCACATAAGTAATCCATTCTATCCAATAAGAACCTCCTAACAATAAATAAATCATCCAGAAGAGTGACAAACACATCTAAGGGTACGAATATCCAAGAATATCCGAAGCCATTTTTTCATTAAAAATCCCTTCTATTTTAGCCTTGGGATAGAGAGCTATCCAGGAATTTTGCCTCTGATTATTTATCCATTATTTTCCCCAATATATTCTACACAAGGAAAATCATGCATACCCCTTGGAAGTATAAACAATAATAGCCATTTTGTCTGGTATGTGGCTTATGAAAACATGAAAAGAGAGGTGTTAAACAGGAAAGAGAAAGACATGAAGCTCAAATCATGTTTCTAAGACAACACAGGTGCTTTACGTATACTGAGAAAATGAAATCAACACAATAGATAGAGGAGACTGATATCCTCTAATAAATAAAGGATTTGTGCCTTATTTCTATAATTATAACTGGAGCATATAA